CTTGTTTGGAACTCGGGTAGAAATCCAGCCTATAGGTTTGTTGGTTTGATTAGGTGAATGTTACTACTTGTTTAGAGAACATGCCTATAGAATTTTCTGATTGTTTTGTTCTATATTTCACTCGCATGATAGAAATCCTGTTTATAGACCCCTTGCATTAGAAATCCTATACATAGGATCCATGCACATTTTTAACTTACATGCATTAGTGACCATGCCTATAGGATTCTATTTGGTTGAATAATAACCTTTCCTAGCAATATGCTTAAAATTCTGCCAACATGTGATTGATAGATATCATGCCTATAGGAGATATAAAAACCAGCTTTCTTCAATTTAGATACCATGACTATAGGAAATAAACAGATCGATTTCGACACCTAGAAATCATGTCTATAAGAGTTAATCAATCCTGCAAATTAGAAAGCATGCCTATAGGATCTAAAGAGATAAAATATGTTTTTATGAGTTAAAAATCAATAATTCGCTTAGAAATCATGTTATAGGTCTTTAATCAACCTTTAGATATCATGCCTATAGAATTCTGTTCTGGTTATCAGTAGGCAAACCTGTAGGTTTATTAAGAATCCTAGGCCAAAAACTGTGATCTCGTGCTGCTTGAAACATGTGCAGATTCAAAACTTAATCAAATTAGTAGGCAAGCCCGTAGGTCCCAATGCTCGTTTTAACAAGGTGCTTTCTTATATTCTTTTCTGTTCATCTAGATATCCTGCTTGTAGGATCTTAAATCAATAAAGTTGTTTGTTTAATTGCATGCATTTGTTGTCTATTTGTGGATGTTAACATGAGCCTTTATTTGTTCCCTACCTGATATTCCTATCTGGTTTTTTCTGTCTCCTAGCTTTTTTCCCATTTAAGCAACATAGGTAAGTTTAGAACCACTCTAAATAGAGGTCCTAAATACCTCCAGGACCATAGGAAAGGGACAGGTAGTGCACGCATAAGGCACGAGTTAGAAGCTACTAGAACGCTTAGGTAATAACTGAAAGATAGTAAAGGAAATGATAGTCCATGCGCTAATGATATGAGTAAAACCCCGACTTGTGGGAGTTGCAAAGCATTTTCATGGAATGATCCTATTGACTAAAAAACTTAGGACCACCCCCTATACTCCTGTGTAAAAAGTAAGTTGAATATTGTATTTGTTTAATTTGTTTTCTTCCCTTTTAAGACTAGTTCGCTTAATTTAAGTGCGGCCGGGACCCACCCTTGTGGACCTCGAGGGGTGCCTAACACCTTTTCCTCAAGGTAATTTCGAGCCCTTACCCGATCTCTGATGATGTAAACTAGTTATATGAGTTAACTGTTCCAGGTGCCCTAACGCACCTTGATCCGTTAGGTGGCGACTCTTCAAATCCCTTACCCCATCCCAAAAGGAAAGGAGTTGTCCCAAAATGTCGAAACCCAATTTCGCTAGAAAAAGGGGGCATGACACCAACGATGGTAAAAGATTGCTTGGAATACGCTCGAAGATGCAAGGCTTGTCAATTCCATGTGAATTTTATTCATCAACCTCCAAGTGTTGCACCCGACTGTTGCATCTTGGCCATTCGACGCTTGGGGATTGGATGTTGTTGGACCACTACCATAGTCCTTTGGTGGGCACCTATACATCTTGGCTTCAACTGACTACTTCTTAAAATGGGCTGAAGCTGTTGCTCGTAAGGAAGTAAAGAAGGAAAATGTTGGAAGTTTCATCCGAGTAAACATTATCTGTCACCTTGGCATTCCTCGTTACATAATAATGGATAATGGCAAGTCGTTCGACAATAGGTTGATGAACAAGGTTTGTAAACTCTTTAGCTTCAAGCAACGTAACTCTTCTATGTACAATATTGCCGCTAATGGTCTAGCCGAGGCATTCAACAAGACTCTATGCAATTTGTTAATGAAAGTCGTCTCCAAATACAAATGGGATTGGCATAACTGTATGGAAGAAGCTCTGTGGGCATATAGGACAACTCACCGCATACCAACACAAGCGACCCCCTATGCACTCATTTATGGAGTCGAAGCCGTCTTGCCACTCGAGCGTCAAACACCTTCATTACGATTAGCTATTCAAGAAAGGATCACCGATGAAGAAAATGCTCGACTTTGATTAGCAGAGTTGGAGGCTCTTGGTGAGAAGAGGTTGGAAGCTCAACATAGTCTTAAATGTTATCAAGTTTCATTGTCTCGCGCCTTCAATAAAAGAGTTCGCCCAAGATCCTTTAGACTAGAAGATCAAGTCTTTGCCGTACGTAGACCCACAATTACTTCCCATAAACCTGTAGGGAAGTTCACTTAAAAATGGGATGGGCCATATGTCGAACAAGAAGCATATTCAAGTGGGGCTTACAAGCTAGTTGATATATATGGCATGAGAATCGTCCCTATCAATGGCATGTTTTTGAAGAAGTATTATGCATGAAATTACAACGCTCCTTGATGCATGAGCCTAAACTGCATATTCCTACACACCTAGCCCGCATGAGTTTAAACTGTGTACGACTATCACGACCTAAAGACCACCAGTTGTGATGGCATCTAACTCAACCCGCTAGGTAAGCCAACTAACAGAAAATATAACTCAACTGAGATTATAAGAAAATATAGAATAGATAACTGGACATTTACAAATTTACTCAAGACCTGGTAGTGCGACTCATGAGCTTCTAAGACTTAGAATTTGCAAAACTGATACAAATAACTACACGTTCTATTTGAAAATTGCATAAACAGATTATCAAAACCTAAGCTACCAAGAACAAGTGGAAACTATATCCAGAAAGCATGAACATCTTCAAAGGCAGCACCCGACATCACCAGCAGCTCTACTCCATGTACTGCTAAGTATTTTGTCTAACCTCATCGAAGTAGTAACGATGCTTTTAGTTAAAAGATGCTTATTGTTATAACCTACACATTAGACTAATAGTATAGACAGTTCAAAACATAAAAGATAAGAGTACTGTATACAACTCTACGAGACAGTCAACAATTACTAGAAGGAATCACAGTAGAAGATTTACAATCTTTCCTGCTATGTGAAGTATATCCAAGATATCATGTCAAATGGCATAGTAACACCCTTCGTGCTTTTATCTGTTCCTCACCATATATAAATAAATTATGTGTGAAATTAGTTAGCACGACAACACCCTTCGTGCGTTCAACTCACCCTTCCAAATGTACGTATAACAGAACTGACCCGATGAAAGAAATAACGATAACATGAATTACAAAGTAGGAAATACGCAAGTAGAAACGATGGACGAGGATATACATGTGGGCAACAGTAAAAGACTAGGCGGAAAGCACGTGAGTAATAACAGTAATTGGAAAACAAGGAATATTAACTTCAATTAACTAGCATAATGGATGCCTAAGTACAAATATAACAAATAATAAGGAAACACATGATCTTTACAAGTTAACAAGTGAGGGCATGAATGACTAGCATTGGAAGGCTTATAATAAAATGCAACAGAATAGATACGACATGAGTTTAATTATAAAAGTAGGAAATAGGCATGGTATTTGCAAGTTAAGCAAGTAGAAGGTATGAGCAACACAACAACAATTGAGATAGAGATCAATGACAGAACAATAGCAACAAGTCACATCAGATCTATAATTATGACAAGAATAGTTTAAGGTAAAGACATGATCGTATACTTGGAAGACCGACATCAAACATAATGAATGTCGATCATCCTCATCTACATGGAAACACCCATCATGCCATGACCTCATGGTAACACAAAAGCATAAAAATATAAATGAAATGGCAAGACATCACCCTTTATGCTTTTACTCTCAAATGATATGGCACGGCATCACCCTTCGTGCTTTTGCTCTCAATATGTGGCACGACATCACCCTTCATGCTTTTACCCTAAATAATGTGGCACGGTATAACCCTTCGTGCTTTACACTCTCCCTCACATGATAATGTATAAACAGTGGCACGACATCACCTTTCGTGCTTTACACTCTTCCTTACCAATCATATGAATTTCAATGACAAACAGGCAGGAAGCATAAATAACATCAAGGAGAGTATTTTTATAGATATTCCAAACAAGTCCCAGTCACAAATTTCCGAGTCAACAATGATTCAAAAATCCTCAAGAACTGCATTATTCAAATACTTCCACAAATCTCACAAATGATCCACAACACAAGTATATAGTCTAGTATCTCAAGAATATCGGCCATAGTAATGTAGTAATGATTTCGCATAGAGTTGACCAAATTAGACACATCAATGTATTCTTAGAATTTCCGTCCCATTTGATCAAGTTATAATAAGCTAAGTCTTTATTTCTATCACTTAATATTATGTTCTTAGTATCTAAGAGTCAAGTAAGGCATGAAGCAGGAGATCACAAAATTCTACAAACATAAATGTAACATAATCCACCCCCCGAGCATGATTAACCCTGCACATACATATACGCTCGTCACCTCATATATGTATCACCCCCGCAAGTAAAAAATAATGACAAATAGGAGGAAAAATTCCCTCAACAAGATTAGGAAAAACACTTACCTCAATTCGGCTAACTCAACACTCAATTTAGCCTTTTTCCTTTACTAATTCGCCTCCTCCGGGCCCAATCTAGCCAACGATGACTTGAACACATCACACAATGCAAGAGAAAACAATTTCAATTAATAAAGATGTGATTTTTATTAGATTTCTAAAAGGTCAACAAAAGTCAAACCTCGAGCCCGACTGGTCAAAACCCGGGTCCTATTCGACTCTCAAATCCCAAATATTCATTTTTCAAAACTTTGACAAAGTCCACAAATTTTTCCCTAGATTTCTCATGAATTTGATGCTAAATCTTATATAAAATCATGAAATATAGTTGAGAAATGATTAAAGATACTTATCCAATGATTTGGTATGAAAATTCCTTCACAAAATTGCCTCTCCTCGAAGCTAGGGTTCAAAATATATGAAAATGAAGCTAAGTCCCGGAATTCTCAACACTTAACAAGCTGCAGATGTCGCATTAGGGACATGGGGTTCGCAAATACAAACCCCACAAATGCGAAGATTTGGAATCTCTGCTACCTTCGCAGATGCGACCAAATTGGTTGCAAATGCAAGCACTGGTCCTTCGCAAAAGCAAAAAATTCTTTGCAAATGCAAATCCTTCTTCTGCAGCCTAGCTTCGCAATTGCGAGCCTGCCTTCGCAATTGTGATGGCCGCATTTGCGAAAAAAAACCATTGCAAATGCAACAAAACCAGAACCAGCACTCAAGAATTATGAAAAATCATTTTGAAGCCAATCCGAAACTCACCCGAGCACTCGGGGGCTCTAAACCAAATATGTACACAAGTCTAAAAATATCATACAAACTCACTCATGTGGTCAAAACATCAAAATAACCTCTAAAACCATGAATCGGATGCCAAAATGCATTAAGATCAACTTAAACTTCAAGAACTTCTAGAATCGCAACCGAGCATCTAAACCATATCAAATCCACTCCCAATGACGCCAAATTTTGCAGACAAGATCTATATGATAAAACAAACCTACTTGAAGCTTCCAATCACACATAGCAACCTCGAAACGATGAATCTCACCTCAAGTCAAAATCAATGAACTTTGGAACTTCAACTTCTACACCCGATGTCGGAACCTATCAAATTACCTCCGATTGACCTCAAATTTTGTACAAAAATCACGTTTTCCATTACGGACCTACTCCAACTTCCGTAATCGAAATCCAACCCCGATATTAAAAGTCCACTCCCTGTCAAACTTCTCAAAAATTCAACTTTCGTCATTTCAAGATTAATTTAACTACGGACCTCCAAATTACAATCCGGATGCGCTCCCAAGTCCAAGGTAACCCAACGGAGCTAACGAAACTGACGAAACTCCATTCCGAGATGAAATGTTAAAAAGTCAAACTTGGTCAACTATTCCAACTTAGAGCTTAAATCTTGCAATTCATTATTCCAAATCGATTTTGAATAACTTGAAAACCAATACCGACAATTTATGCAAGTCATAATACATCATGCAGAGATACTCAAGCCCCCAAAATGCCGAGCAAAGTGCAGATACTCAAAACGATCAGTCGGCTCGTTACATCCTCCACCACTTAAACACAGGTTATCCTCGAACGTGCTAGGAGTCGTTCCAAAGCTATCAAATCACGGTGTAACCTTCCTATACATAAACCCGGGGGTGATCCCACGTCACCCTGATTCACATAAGCCCTCCAACACAACATGACTAGAGATCCTTTTTTCGACCTTGGTCCTTAAACCTTAAGACTCAATCTCTATCATCCATAATTCATTACAAGACCCCAGTCCCACATCTACCTACTGTATACGTCTGAACAAGCCGTATCAAGTCATAGTCATAATCCAAGATGTAATCACATGATATACCCCATCAATTTGACACTCACAATAGGAACTGCTGACCACTATTACTGCCCAAAATAAATTTGGTGCCGGTAGCAAACCTTATATCGATTAGAACCTCGTTCAAAACCTTCATACCCTACCGATGATGAATGAAACATGCATAGCCGCTTAACCACTCATCTGATCAATAAGCCAAGAGACTCACTCACCCGATCAGGGCCATTGTCCAAATCCTCAACAAAATATAGTGTTATTCTTCCAAACTTTCCATATCCCAATACAATAGCGCAAATCTCATGTATAGAAACCTCATCTCAGCCAATACAAGCAGCCACACCGGCAAGTACCAACAATGATCATATAAAGCCCCACACAACCCGATTTCGTGCAACAACAAGTAATAATTTAGACATGATATATAACAGTAAGAAAACTAAATAAGAAGACTACCAAGCAAGTTAAGTAGGTAGGGAAATTTTAGCATTTTACTATGAACTATTTTCAACAAGGTGAAAGCAAAATACACAAAATAGGAATAAGGAGTCACATTTCATCACTGTACCGTTGCGGCATGCAATCCGATCCCATCATATCAATCCATATAGGGTACCCGTCGATCCATAATACTCAGGCTCACTGATCACATGTGCATCAATATCAAGCACAACAAAGTGCACAAAAATATAACTGTGGAAAAAATATTAGGAACAAACAA